AAAATTCTTTGCCTGCAGATGGAGTTGACCAGATTCATCTTCCCATAGACTTGGTGGTGGGTGTAAATGACTATCAACTCCAGAGAAAATACTAGAGAGTGGCCAGATATTCTGGGGCATGTGACAAATGTCTAAACCACTGAGGCTGCCTGTTGGCAGGTGGTGCCTGTTGTCAAGAAGAAAAGTGCAATCTCCCAGGATGTTGATCAGATGATTGCAGCCAACAGGGAGTTTGGTAATATTGAGGTAGTTGTACATATGAAGGACGGCATTCTTGAAGGAGTCAGACATGTATGAATACTGGAAGAGATATGGTGGTGCACCAGTTTTGGTGTCCAGTATTGCACATTCATCATTGTCTTTGGCTTGACAAACTTGACCACTGCTTGCTCTCTTGCAGCAACCCTGTCCCATACTTTGATGATATCCTTGGTGTATTGACCAATTTGTATGGCACCTTGTGACTGAAGCACTTTGATGGTTTGTGCTGAAGGTTGCTGATTCTCATTGATGATCTGTCCTGATGAATTCTGGGGCAACATGCCTCGAGATGTTTTGGGAAAGAAAGAGGTTCGCCAATAGTGAACTTGAACATGAACAACATCAGATGTAGTGGTGACTGGTGATTACTGAACTTTGGACAATCACCAGAGGTATTTTGCTCAAGATGAAAGTTGTTGGAGGTCTTTTGGCTCCCCTTTACTCTGGACAAGTCATGCAGACTGTGTCAGGTGGCAGGAGGATGCACCCCACCAAGGCTACTACCTCCTTGTCTGTTGATACAAACCTTAAAACTCCTTCCCAAGTCTTTCAAGCACATACTCTACAACTGCGCTCAAGATCACAAGCAGCTTGCATTTGGAATGATTTAGAAAGTCTGTTAGATCTGACAGCCCTGGGCCCGGTTGTCCAACTCAAAGCACATGTCTCTGCAACACTGGTGCCAAAGCATGCCAACCTCTCTGGCATTCACCACACTGAGAGTCTTGTCAACACAGCTGTATCATCCTCTGTATCAGCTGCAGTGCAAGAACCCCTTGAGCATGAATGAGAGACATGGTGCATCCTGTCTCCTCATGCTGCGAGGCCAACCAGTTCTAAACCAAAACCACAACCTCTAATACAAATGATACCCATTGTTTTGAGAACTTCTACTTCACATGCTGTTCAGTCTAAAACCAGATGACCAGCACCAAAGAGCTTTTCAATGCTTGACCATATTGACAAGCAACTTCCCCAGCTAGCACCACAGCAATATTTCATTCATCAGCTCATCCTCTCTGGAAAAAATGTCTTCTTCACAGGCCCTGCAGGTATGTTTCCCAAACACTATTGGGAGAACTGTATTGATAATTGTTAAATGACAGGAAGTGGGAAGGGCATATTACTGTGCACAGTCATTGCCACCCTATGGAATGATTGCTGCTTTGAAGATAATCCTCTTGTGATTGCAGTCACTGCTACCACTGGGATTGCATTGTTTCATATTGGTGGTTGGACCCTCCATAACTGGGCAGGAATTAGGGGTCAGGGCAAAGAGCTTGAAGAGATATGCCAGGAAATCAAGAGAGATCCAGAGAAGAGGCAGTGCTGGTGTGATGTGAGGGTTCTCCTGATAGACAAAAGTACACCTTCCTCATTGACTTGTTTGGATCATCTCTTGACTTGGAACAGTTTCCATGTTGTCTGCTTCACTTTTTGATAAGCTTGCTCAGACTGCACAACACATCCAAAAATCTTTGCTACCTTTTGGTGGAATCTAAGCAAGAATTGTTCTATGGCTGGTATCTGATCCTGCTAATCACAATAGCAGGTTGTGTTGACTGGTGACTTTTTTCAACTTCCACTGGTTGAGGATGACAGAGAATGCACCAAGTTTGCATTTGAGGCAGAGGAATGGGAATCAACAGTTACTCACTCCTGCATGCTCACAAAAGTATACCAACAACATGATGGAGGTAAGAAACACCACTCATGCATGCATCTTTCATTATTGATTTTCATTATTTTGCAGTGTTTCTTGATATTCTTAATGAAGTGCAAAAAGGAGTAATCTCTGATTGGGCTGACAGGAAATTGCAAGAGCTCTGCAATGAAGATGGGTTTGATGATGGGGTGGAGCCAGTTGGCATGTCAGTCTCACATTACCTCTTCTTAAGCATGTTGGTTTACTGTGGTTGGTGGCTTCACAAAATGGAAGTTTGTCAGTGAAGCTAACAACCAGGTCCTGGATCAGCTTGATGGCATCAACCATGTGTACCATGCTGTGGACAAAATTGAGCATGGATATACCTGCAAAAGCACCTCAAATGCTTTCGACAGACTCATTGTGCCTGCATCTGTATTCCTCAAAGCAAGAGCACCCGTTATGCTCATCCAAAACATGCCAAATGATAATGAGCTTGTAAATAGATGACTTGGTTTTGTTCTTGGCTTCTTGTCCAAGCAAACTTGGAATGCGAAAGGCAAACATTGGGAGGGTGGAGCAGAAGAAGCAGACATGACAGGACCGAGATTCTGTCATGAGCAATTGAGAAGCAATGACTGCCTGTATCCGGTGGTGAGGTTTCTGGAGAGAGCCAATTAACTTGAGTGAAGAATTCTTGTCACCCCTCACAAGTGGAATGTGTTGAAAGGGAAACACTTTGTTGGATACCATCATCAGGTATGCTTCATACTTATTACCTGTGCTCAGGATCTGCTGATTCCAGAGATAGCTCCCACTTATACTTGCTGGGGCATTTACTGTTCATAAATTGCAAGGCAGCACCCTTAGTTGATTTTTGTGAGACATGGGAAGATGGTGGGAGGTGCTCAGTTATTCCAATCTTTCAGTGCTGACCAATGGCTAGGGCAAGCTTACATTGCACTGTTGCAGTTTCTGTCAATGACCGCATTTCAACTTGCACATTACAATCACTCAAAGGTTAGCAGGGGGTCTCCCCAGAAGATAGAGGATGACCAACTGATCTATCTGTGCAGATCAAAGCCAGCTCAAAGGTGTTGGCATGGTCTTGTTCACTTTTAGAGGGTCAAGAAGAAGATATGTCTCACTAGTTTGGATACCCCTTCTTCATGCAATGCATATATTTATGATTAGGCTGTGTCACTATGATCTACCAAACCCATCCTGCTGACAATTTCATAGAATGTTGCCAGTACCACCCTCAAAGGTATGCGGAAGGAGACACAAGCTGGATTAGAACATGATAAAACACTTGATATCTGTATGGACATGAATGCCCCTATCATCCTCATACCCAAACAGTACATGTTCTTCACATGGAAAATCCCTTGCTTCTGACCTTCTTAGTATCATGGCTAAACAATGTGCACATATGATTTTGGATGCTGGCCACATTGCAATCCAAAGTGGTCTCATAGAAAAGAGCACACTAGCAGAAATTGACATGAAACATTCTCAGCAATACAGTGAAGAAAATTATAAACAGCTACAGTCCCATATGTACAATCATTTCTTCTTGAAGCTCTGATCGGCCCTGATCTATCCTCATGCATGTCAGCACTTTGAGAACATGATGAGGGAGTGGTCAAAGTCCATGTGGTAGAGCAAATCAACATTGATTTCTTTGTTCAGAACTGCATCTCGCCTGATGCACCATTTTTGACTCAGTTCAAGGTAGCAGGTCAACTTCCAGAGCAGAAAGTCAATGTATCCAACACAAAATACCAGTGGCTCATGCAATTCCTGGAGACTGCTATTGCTAGATTTGGAGGCAGCTGGGCCCCTGGTCAGACCTGTCAAAATCAAGAGACCTGCAGCATTATCTGATGTCTTCGCAAAGCCACACAAATTAGAGTATGTCATGGACGATTCCGCAATGGAGTCCATGGAGAGTCTGGACAATGGCAACACGTTCTTCAAAGCCAAAGTCGCAGATTCAGAAGTGAGCATTTGGTCTCCATTTCCAAAGAAGACTATCTAACCACACTCCAGAGAGAACTGCAGATAAAACAATGAGTTTTCTTTCAAGGTCAGCAAACTCCAAACCTCCTTGTTCAATGCACTGCCAGGCCAATGGGACAAGCTTATTGCAGATGCTCCATTGGAAGGATTTGATCTGGGATTTGCCCAAACAAAGTGGAGTATGCTGGTCAACATTGTACTGCACTCCATCTCAATGAAGATGATGGAGATGGGGGCAGAACCATTGCAGCTTGTTACCTCACAATCCAAAGACTGAGAACTCCGGCAACTGTCTTCACTAATGCACTGACCATGGCTCTCAGATATGCAAACATGGCACCAATTCACTCAAATTCCCTAGTGATTGGGAACATGCAATCCACAATTTCTGTTCTTGGATGCTGAGTGCAGGGGTTTGGTCTGTGGTCATGGCACTGTAGGGTGAGGGGTTCTTGTTGCACAGGTTTAATGTAGACTGGTCAATAAATGAACAATAATGTACAATAATGCAATACAATACAATGTAGATTCAATACAGGAATCAGGAGCCCTAACAAAAATGCAAAGAGAAACACAAATTGGCTCAAACACCCCATATAAGTCCCTCTAGACTCTGCAACCCACACTATGAAGATACTTCCTAAACACGGAACAGCACATGTTTGATCTGCCACTCCTCACTTTTCTTCCTCCCTTCCTCTTGTCCTTCCAGCACAAAGTCTTTGTTCTCTTGTATGACAGGACCAGGGATGTAGAAGTAAGCTAACTCCTGTAAGAAGATGGAGAAGCACTGGGATTCCGATGTCTACCCCTGGACCTCACGCAACCAGCATCTCCAGAGTGAAGATCATGAGGAAGTTGGCAGACGTCAGGTTCGGGGCAGAGGCAAACTAACCAGTAGAGGACTTTGCAAGATGAGCTTCAATCTGCAGATAGGTTAGCAAGCTACTCTGGAGGAGGGAGGAGACAGACCATCTTCACATTCTCTTTAAAATGTGGATTGATAAACACTTGCTGTATGCCTTCCCTCCTCATCAGCTCCTCTCAGGAAGACATAGCACAGGATGCACTGTTACAAATAAGGCTCGCAATAGGGTGGATGAAGAAGGGTACCCACAGTGAATATGAGGCCCATGATGATGATGCTGCCTTCTGCAAAGTGCATGTCTGTTGAATGCTTCGCCCAGAAACACTGAAGGACAGAGATGGGGAGTGAATACACACAGTAGAGGTTATCCACCCATCCATCTTTGCCCAGTTCAAAGCTGCCCTTTCCATACTTCTTGATTAAGTACTCTGTTGGACCTCAGCCTCCCTCTGTAGCTATCATGGCAGAGATGCACCAATAATCACCCCCCTCTCCCCAAGCTTGCCATAACCATCCTGCATCACAGGACTCTTCCTGAGTGAGTGAATAGCCTTGAGTTCTGGAGGAGCCTGCCTCCATGGAAGACAATGGTAGGACTTGATCTTGTAGGGAACCCCAATCTCCTACCATCAAGGTCATAACCAATATTGAGTAGGGGAGAGGGGAGAGGATGCCTACCTTGAGCAACCACACAGTTCTCTTAGAGTGATAATTGGCACTTGTGAAGCATGCTTCACCTTGCCACTCAAATTGGTCTTTGAGACCAGCTTCTGCTTGCGCCTCTAGCAGATCTTTTGCAACGCTTGGGCCATGGATGGTTTTGATGGTGACTTGACCATCCCAGAGGAGGGGGCCGAGACATCAGCAGTGTTTGATCTGGCCTTGTACATTGATTTCAATACCCATGGGGAAAGATGCTAAAGACTCATACTGAAAGGAGACACTTGGTTGTGCACATGGCATATCATTGGAGTACAAATTGATGTTGTGCCACACATACCTCAGCTGCAATGCAATTGATGAGACTCTTCTAGCCTATGGATAGGTATCTGATCCATTGCTTAGGCTGCCATCTCAATGTCCTTCTCCATAGCCTTCAACATTTGGTAAAGGAATGTTAAGGGCCAATTCTTGATCTTGAGACAGAGATGACTTCTGGAGGAGCCAGATGCGTTACTAGGACCCCACTGCAGGCCCCTCTTTAAGGTTTTCCAACTCCGCTTTCTTGTGCTTGGGGTCTTCTCAGGCTCAGGCTGCATGCCACCATACCACACTCATCTTTGTCATCACCCTTATCATGGAAGCAAGTCTGCGCTCCTCCAGCTTTGTATCATGATATCAGAAATGCAAAGAATGGCTCACTGTGGTATGTTCATCATTGGTTACTTGATTGACACCCTCTTTGCCAGTAGCATGAGAAGCAGGAGGTGCTGACGCAGCCAGTACTAGTAGTAGAATGAAAGGCAGTGGATGAAGTCAACAGTTTTGATCCACAAGCCTGGGCAGAATGGATCACACACATAGCCTTTATATAACACAAGGACTCCCACAGCATCTACTGGTGTATGTGCATTATTAATACATTGGTGCACATTTTCTACCTTATCCAAAGTTTGGCAACACATATATATAGTGATGGTTAATGGTCTGAAACGGTATTTCCTCTAGTTCCGCATTTCCACAATATATGGTTTTTGGTTTTTGTGGATTTGTGGACATTGGCTCAAATTGGGGGACCACATTTGCATGGGTATAAAAACCTGCTCTGACACTTTCTGCTCTGACCCTTGTCACTCTCTCTCTCTCTTGCTCCTTCACAATTTCCCCAGAAAAGAAATCTCCCATTCTCCTTAGCAAGATGACTGTGCCACACAACTGAGCAACATCTGTGTCAATGCATGTTTCAGATCTCATTGATGGACTTGCCAATCTAGAAGCTTATGCCACTCTTCTGAAAGCTTGGGGTGCCTTGAAAACTAGGCTTTTGGATGAAGAGTTGATGGCAAACCTGATCTTTGCTTCTAAGGCCTGTAAGTCTCCAATCATATCTTGTATTTGTCCTGAGGTGACTCACCAATTGCTATGTTTCTTTAGGTGAAATGGAAAGCAAGGCATGTCAAGCACTAAATGCTTTCAGCAGTGCATCAGCTGCCGACCAGCAGCTGGACAAAATGTCACCTCCCAGCATTATAGCAATGGGATGGCAGGGGGACAATTCTGAGGATCAGCAGGGAAATATGGATGAAAGCATGAGCTTGAGGAGCTGTACCCAAGGCAATTACACTTTCTTCACTAGAGGCAGCAAGATGTACTAACTCATGAATGCAGGTAGTCACAAAAACCTAGCTGCATTTGGGTCCCCGCTTCCACCAGGAGAGTCACACAAAGGCCTTCCGGAGAAGAAAGCAGCCTCCAGATGGCATCTGACCATGGGGGACAAACCATCAGGTGCAATACAGGGACTGAGCAGGAAACACCTTACCAACAAAGAGTGGAGCTTCATCCATCATTTGCATGTTCAGGAGAAGAAAAATAATGCTGGTCGCCATGTTCCCCATGGCTTTTGGGAGAATGTTGTCAAGATGGTATCTCACCCACTCTGAGACTACTTCTTCAGATCTTACTGATGCTTATCTATAGCTTTCTCTAGACAAAAGGGGGATTACCAACAAAGACTGTTGCAGTTTATATTACAAGATGGTGGGAAAGAATAAGGAAGACATGGTCACCAAAGTGGAAGTGAGTGAGATAATGAACTGAAAACGACAATGCTAACTCATCAAAGGTCAAAGTCTAAGATACACAATCTTCTGATGTGTGTCTGAAAACAAATGCTGCATTGACCAAGTGCACGTCCCAGATGTCCATAAATGTTATGTATCATGTTCATAGCTAGTGATGAGACACATATCTGTTATCAGTGTTGTTAGGAGGCCAACCAGTCCTGGCTGTGTGCATGTCACATATGTGACACACTTCAGCAAGCATACTCTGGTGTGTGTCGAAACCTGGTTCATAGTGTAGATCCCAACATCCAGAGTAATAGACAGTTCTCATCCATATTCCTGGAGTCCACCTGCCTCAACACAGATGCAATCGCCCAAATCAGATTGATGAGATAGCATAGCAATGAAGAAAAATTGTGCCCTCCATGTCCCCCATCCTGTGACTCTTTGCATCCCCTCAGATCGCCTTACAGTGAGCAGCACATGCATCAGATACTGATGGCAAGATTTGGTAGGTGCAGCCAAGTTCTTTCATGTGGTACTGGCATAACTGCAAGATCACTTTCAGGCTGGATGGGGATGCATGAAAAAGGCACAAAAGCCATCAGTGGGCACACTGCTAAGTCTGTGGGGCACAGGAGATGCTTCTGTCAAGACAACCTGAGGTCAAACAGCCCAGAAACATTTCTTGGTGTGTAAAATCAAGCCTCACACACTTTTCACTAAGGCTGAAGTTGTAGACACATATGCCAGAAGGCGGGACACAGCAGATGCAGAGAGCAGCATGGCTTTAGGTAAGTTGTTGTTGTGCCAGCAAAGATTGTGCTGAGTGCATTATCACAGAACAGATGTTTCTAGGTGATGAGGAGACAGACCATGCAAGTTTTCTCACATCATCAATCCAGAATGTCGATGGAGATCAGTTGAGTCATTGAGATGGGTCCTCTGAGGAAGAGGAACAAGAAGAAAAGGATTTCGCTGATGTACTGAGGACCTGACCTACATGCATTTCCCACACACAGCCTTGAGTGCACTGGGGAGAGGAGGACATGGTACAAACATGGCCATCAACCCAGCACAGGCCTGTGCAAGCGCTTGCAGCAGCTTGAATGTGGTCTACCACAATTAAGAAAAACATCAAGAGAGTTCAGAAACTGGAGGTTGAAGATGCTCAAAGCAAAGTTGATGAGCATTTTCAGCAGAAGTCACAAAGTCGCTGTAAACCCACATTTCCCAGGGAATGCACTACTGCACATAAGCCTTTTCATGCAGAGTACTGTTGTTTCTGAAGCTCAACTTTTCATTTTGAAAGCTGCAGACAGGGCAAATGGAATGAAGGCAAAACAGAAATGCCCACCAGGAGATGCAGGAGAATGTAGAGACAAGTTTGAGCAAATTCAGGTATGCTTCACTTCATCATGATCCAGTATATCAGTGTCTTACCATGCACTGCCTAGTTTAATATCTGTGCCCAACCCAAAGTCCAAGAGCATCAGCTATGAACAGCACATGCCAGGAACCCAGTAAAGGTTAACAACAATGTTATGAGATCTCTGGCTCGAGTCAAACAAAGTGGCCAGCACTCAAAGATGAGTGATCTCTCGGCTACAATGAAATCAATTGTTGTGCTGGCAAATTGAAAACATCAGGTATTATTGGCAAATTGCAATGCCTTTCCTAGCCCACCCCTCTGTGTTCAGTGGGCATTGAAATGCTTCAAGTCTGCATGCGGAGAGCTTGGCTCCCTCCAAGACCATTATAAAACTTGCTTCAAATTGGATCTGGGATTCAAATCAGAAATACAAGATATTGTGCATGTCAGCAACCTGAAGCTCATGACCAATGTTTCTGATTACATAACACTATAGATTCTACAGAGAGAAGCTCAGTTACATGGAGAAGTGAAGTCAATTGCCATTGACCTCTTGCTCGAGCACTAGAAGCTGCCTCTTCATTGAGACCCAGAGGACATAGCCAATGAAGTTGAGCATCTCACTACTGACTTGAGGTTTCTATACACCAATCTATGGGTATGGATGGATCTTTTCTCACTTAAGTGTTTGGAGAGGTAACCTATCCCCCAGAACTCATTTCCTCAGAAGATCTTCGAAAACCTGATGATCCAAGCAGTCTATTTGACTGCATTCTTCCGTGATATCAAGAGCAATGGAGTACAATTTAAGTGCATATTTGGCAAAGGACGCCTGCATTGCTTGCCCTTATCGTAACTTCAGTGAGTTTATTCAACATTTATAGCCCTATCAATTGTGACCTAACAGGATAGATTCACTGTGCTCTGGAACAATGGGCAAGTGGGGAGAGGAAGTCAGGAATGTCCCACAAATTTACCGCCCAAACCTGGGGCTCAGTCTACCAGGATCACCTAGACAATGTCAAAGAGTTCTCAAAGGCTTTTCTGAACCAATTCAACTGGATCATGCAAGAGATGTATTGGAATGCAATGTACATGTCTCTGTATGCAGACCTTGTTTTTGGCTGAATATTTTGTCCAATGTCAGGGCAGCAAGCAGGGCCATTGTGGTGAAAAAAAACAAGTGCTTGCATTATGTTGGCAACCTGTTGGAGAGGCTGCAAGCCAAGGATCTTGCATCAGATGATGCCAAAGATTCCAACATTGATATTGAATGGAGCAGCAGGGCAGCATCACCTCATCCAGAACTGTTGTGCACTCCCAAAGTTGAGGAGGTGAGCATCAACCTGGATGAGAATTCATCATCACAATCATGCATGAGTCACAAGACTGAGGCTAGTCTGCCAATGGTTGATAAAATATCTCCATGAGCCCAATTTGCCAAGGACAAACTTTGGCTGGCATTCACTTCTCCTACCAGTCTTCCAGACCCTTCCAGCTTCTTTCAGTGTGTGGTGGATGACTTGCCACATACTGGAGCAAATTCACTTGGCCAACAAGCATGGTCACAACACTTGCAACACCTCCCCTTGCTCAATATTGCCAAAACAAGCATTACTCAAGGAGAAGAGGAGATTTCAGGCAGCCTTCTTCAGTCTATGCACTCCTCAATAATTTCCTTTACTGATAGTCCGCAGGCTGAACATGACCTTCAGGGTATGATGCATACAATGTCTGCAAAGAACATCTAACAGTATATTTAGAAATCAGCTCCTTCAAGAACCTTGATATATCTGCTGTGCCAGGTCATCCCTCAGCTCTCTGCTCTCCAAAGAAAGTGTCAGCTTGCCATGTGGGACCAAAACTGATAACGATTCAAAAAATCAACTTTGAAGGCACTACTGCTCCAGATGGGACTATTGTTTGCAGTATGGCAGCAGCTCCCAGATCTCCAAAGAGACCCCAACCTCAACCTTGCCCCTTGCACCCCAAAGGATCAAGTGTGACTGTTGTGCCACACACACCTGTGACACATACAGACACAATACTGGACCATCAGGCCAATGTTGCACTTCATCAAGCAGGAATGTCTTTTTTCCCCTTATGGCTTCCACACCTGCATGCCGTATTGATCAAGGTAACCAATCTCTCAGTGATTGCTGCCAGGATCAAGTCCCATCTCTTGCCATACAATTGAATGAAATTGCTCCAGAATCAGCACATCCTCCAGAAGGGTTAAGGTCTACCAATCTGAGTGCTGTGCAGGCAGAAAAATTGACTCTTCCCACAGAAAGCCCTCATCCACTTGTGAATTTGGATTGCAACACTTTTATTGCTGGTGAAGAGATATCCCTCTTGCATGATTGTATGGCCGCTCTTCTGGCAGGCATGTTGTTACTGCCCTCTGCGGAAAATGCCCCTGGCATGCCAACATCACCTTTACCCCAAAATGATCTTCTTCATGACAATCAGATCCCAGTGCATGATGTAGGCAAGAATCCCATTGTTTCAGAGGAACATCCAAATTCGAACAAATGTCAGAACAAATCACGACCCATGCATCCTCAGGCCAAATCACAGCTTATCACACCAACTGTTGCTGATGTGATGGGAATGACCATTGTGAGATCCAGCATGTCAAACCGAGTCATCCGGCCCCCAGTACAGTTTGAGCCTGAGATCCAGTGATCTGTTCAGAAGAGGGCAACCAGAAATACCAAGCACTGATCTTCAATTGCAACAATGTTCTTCACTTCCTGTCAGATTGATTTTAAAGAGCACAATGATGCATTTCCTGCTTCATCTGCACCCTCCATACTTAATTATTCTCCCTGTTTGGTGTGGCAGATGGCCCCAGCACCAGGAGGTGCCAGTAGTTGCCAGGAGTTGCATAATAGCAAATTAGTCATTTAATAGAGGCTAATGATGAAGGATTTCATGTGTCATGCCTTGGTAGGGTTAACACCACTTTCTCACAAAAGAAGCAGAAGATCAAAGATGGCTCAAGAGACAGGTGGAGACAGCAAGGAAGGTAAGACACAACCCTAATACAGGTCAACCACCTCAATATCCCCATTCAGGTTCCATGACACCAATATGCCAAACTCAGACATGGGTCTATACATTGCACTCATTTGAGGAGTTTGAGCAAGGGAAGATGATGGATCAGGAGGCAGCATGATGGTACTAGGTGGAAAGCATGGGAAGACTGGGAAGACGAAATTGGAGGTGCAACAAAAAGACAACATACCTGGTGAGCTCGCTCTTTACTGAGGCGGTGCCATGTGCTTAGCACTGTACTCAAATCACGCTCAAAATCAACTCACCTTTAGTACTTCCTTTCTGAAAGGTAAATTCCCTTTTGGAGTATCATACATTCTGTGGGATAATTGGGTCCCAAACTCAGTTGCAAGGGGATCATGGAAGTTGGTCATTTGGAGTGCAATGGCTACCCCATTGGGAATCTGAGAATAAGGAGTCACACAACGAACAGTAACCATTTCAAAAAGACAATGATAGTGACATGCACTGCAAGGAGGCTCATAACATATCCTGCAACAAGGATGCTGACATTCTTATCAGGAGGATCCTAACCTGCCGGGGAGATTCTAACATACCCTCCAGACAGGATCCTAACATACCCTCTTGGCAGGATCCTGACATACCCTGTAGAGAGGATCCTAACATACTGAGATCCAAACATTCTTGTTGGGAAGATCCTGACACACTCTGTAGACAGGCTCCTAATATATGGAGTTCTGTAACCAAGAAACACATGGTCAGAGGAACATACCTCAACTATGCTCCTGGCCTGTCACATTGCAATATCTGGAAGGTGTATCAAACAAGCACAGTCAGGAGAACATACCTCAACTATGCTCCTGGCCCCGGTACATTGCAATCTCTGGAAGGTGTATTCAGTCATGAGCAAGCGTGGTCAGGAGAACATACCTGAACTATGCTCCTGGCCCCAGTACATTGCAATCCCTGAAAGGTGTATTCAGTCTCAAGCAAGTATGGTCAGGAGAACATACCTTGACTACACTCCTGGCCCGTCACATTGCAATCTCTGGAAGGTGTATTTAGGCTTGAACAAGCATGGTCAGGAGAACATTGACTACACTGCCTGGCCCAGAATATTGGATTTTTGGAGGCATGCTGAGTGTAGGAGGATACATCATATATGAAGACAGAAAGACCCCAGGATGCAATGATCCTGAGAAGCCAACAAGGTCCCAAGATCTTGAGAATCAAGATACCAAGACACATAGATATCAGGATACTGGGAGGCAAAGATCCCATCATCCTGAGATACTAATGGAAACAGATCAAGACACAAAGGCCCTGAGATCCTAAGATACCAAGATATGAAGACACAAAGATACTGAAATACTAAGACACAGAGATACCAAGATACAAAGACACAGAGATACTAAGATGCTAAGACACAGAGATACAAGATACTCAGACATGGAGACAAGACACAGAGATACCAAGACATGGAGATACCAAGACACAGAGATATCAGGATACTGAGAGGCAAAGATCCCCTCACCCTGGCAAACACAGCGCAGTGGCAAAGTTTTGGGCCTGTGAGAACACAGCCATTCCATTGTGAACAGTGATCATATGGTGGGCAGGTTGCAGCTTGCAGTTCATGGAGTATGCTGCCAGCTCTATGCTCTGGCAGACATTATCTGGCTCATCCTGGGCAAGGCAACAGCCCCCCAGGCCAATAGAGATCCCTAACAAATGCTCTTTGCATGACAAAATGATGTCACAGAGCTGTGAAGACGTCAGCAGATAAAACTTTTTACAATGGAAAACAGCTTACCTCCTTTGCCTCTGTCTGTGGGGATACAACCACAAATAGCAAGGAGTGGAGGATGGAACAGAACAGGTTGCCGGCTTCTGGAAGCTCATTGGAGTGCACAGCTCAATAGGTGCTCTGGAGATCACCAGAGGGGATCACTTGGAGGGTTTGGGATATGGTCAGGTACACCTGGCTGGGCTTGGAAGAAGTAAGTTGCCAGCGAAGAGGTATCTGAATAGGTGGCACTGAAGTGTTCACCATGAGACATGCATAAGAGGAACAATAGATGGATAAGAAGATAGGCTTGAGTGGTTCAAAGTTGACCATGCTGACTTGGCAATTGAGCAGCTGCATCACTGTATCAAAGGACCCAGCAGCAATGTGGTCTGATTTGACTGGGGAGTTGTGGACCCAGAGATTTGCCTCACTAATACCTGGTGCAGAATAAGCCAAGTCCACCTGCTCTTCCTCTTCTTCCTCTTCAGCATGAGGAACAATGGCTTCATCTAAGCCACAGCCCTCAACGTTCCCTTGATCAACAGCTGGACCAGCATTGTCACCCTCCCACTCATCCAGAGTGGGGTTGGCAGCAGCAGCATCAGTGCCATTGACATAGGGAGCCCCTTCAGCTAGGCAACCTTCAACGAGGGCATGCTCAAAGAAGTTGTGCACACTACTAAGGAATGGCCACTGTAGCAGCCCAGTGCCAGAGATGATGGGTGGTGGCCTGAGGGTCAACTTTCAAAAGCTCAGACATCATCCAATTCAACTTCAGTAAGACCAGCTGCATTGAGGATGCCATTGGCCATGTCTTCAAGACTGTTTGTCTCTGTGGTCATGTAAGCAAGGGGGGTCTGTCAACAGGACAAAGGGGCATACATAGGCCAACATTTCGAAGGATGTTAATCCTAGAGACAATGTCACCTGGGTAGAGTGAGTTGTGGAACATTGACATCTGATTGCCATGAGGCTTGGTAATCTTGGCCATCTTCACAAGCTTCTCATGTGCACCCATTGTCATGTATAGGAAGGACAAGCAATCAGAGTTCCACACAGTTTGGTAGGCAGTTTGCACAATTTTGTAATTACCCTGCTCCAACACTTGCTGAGCAAGGCTGTTCCAGCTCTCAGGCCAGTTGAGTGCAACTGCAGTCTCTAGGGCAACATTGACATTGCCACACTCAGTAGCAAGCTCAAATTATGTGTTCTTGTCTTGAACAAAGTGAAGTGCAATTTCAGAGAAACCCTTCTTTTGAAGATAAGAGATGATGCTCTGGCCCACAAAGTGCAAATAATGTGCAAGACCTCATAGTTATGGCAGAGAAGCGCCACCTTGAAGCGATATTCTGTGGGGTCAATCACAATGGTCCTGGGGCAAGTGGAACAATCCAGACAGTGGAGCGTCTTCCCCTTGATCCAAGTAAGATAGATTGGTTGATCAAGTGTCTTGATGATGCCATTGTCCGTATATGTGCATCAGTGTTAGTCTCAGAAGCATATTCTTTGAACCAACCCTTGTGGTAGAGCATATTTGATGTGATTCAACATGGAGTAAATGAAGACACTGCTGTTGTCCCATGCTCCAGACTTGATGCAAATGGTCTCATGAATGAGGCTGCTCTGTGTCAAGGTCTTGTTGGCAATAGTAATTGCTAGGAAGATGTTTCAGTACAGACAGTGGTTGGAAATACTCACTGTGCTTGCCAAGCAGAGCAACATTAGCACCTTCTGAGTTCCACACAGTGTTTTTCATGACCTGAGTGCTCAGCTGGGGCAGAACCTTCTGTTGTTGGATGTCAAACAAAACTACTGCAGTAGGCAAACTTAGCAAAATACTTGCAGTGCCACTGTAGAAAATCTTGCTTGTTTGTACTTGTGGTTTGATCATCTTGGTCAGAGTGTTATTGAGATCACGGATCTCAATTGTCTCAGCATTCTTGTCCAGCACTGCAAAGCAATTGTGAGCGACAAAAATGGCACTGTAGCCAGAACCCTGCTTTCTGTCAGAGGTGGAATCTCTCAGTTCTCCACTGGCATCCTTGGGCAAGGTAGCCAACTCATAGATCCCATTGTCTGCAGTCTGTGATACAACATTAGGTGAGGTACATTAGGTGACAACTATAGCTCACCAAAGTGACAAGAACAGTGCACTCCACAGGGGTTGAAGCTCAAAGTATGTGGCTGGATATACTGGTTGCCAAGCTTTTGCATGCTCAGAACACCAACATTGGATCCAGTTGTCAAGTTGTGCTGACACACATATTTGTCTCAAATATAATACAGGGTGTCATGGTGCAAGGCAAATGCAGGGCACTTGCACTCGAGTTTGAAAAGACAATCAAACAATTATCATAACCTGAATGAGAAGTAAGGATCTGAGTGGAGGGAATGGATGGATGAACACACCAGCCACAAACAAATTCAGCTCTGGATGTGCACACAGGGCCCAGGACCTATTGCGTTCCCTACAGAACGTCTGAACCATGGTCCTCTTTGACGTATCCCACATGTGAATGGTTTTGTCCTCACCCATGGACAGGGTTGCTTCAGACATTGTTGAAGTGGCCATGGCATGTGTCAACCTCCCAAGCCTTTGTCTCACTCATCTGCCAGTTTGACAATTGTCACCAGCAGAGACAATGAGTGGGAGGGCGGGGTGGAAGGACATCCAACTGACTCCAGGGTTGTGACCTTCCAGGAATATTTGACAGTCAAGAATGCTTCGAAGCTGTTGAACAAGTTTTGTTGCTGTTGGTCGGGGTACTCTGTCTCACCCCACAGATGTCAAACAATCATGATGGTCCAAGTTGAGGTCTGGCAATCAGAGCACCAACTGAATGGGACATCACCATGAGTCTGCCTGGCACCACCTCCCTGCCAGTCACAGTGAGCCCCGGGCCACAAAATTGGGCAAGACCCTTACCAGTACTCAGCCTGAGGCTTGCTTGCACCTACTGCAATGAAAGGCCACAGCTCTTGGCAATGCAATTCCGCAAGAATCCACTCATATGAGACTTGGAGATGCCCTTCCTGTGTCATGTTATTAATTTTATGCATTCATTCGCATTATGGAGGTAGCTAGTATGCCTTCCAGAGTTCCATAGCATTTGCATAGCGGAGGCAGAGTCACTGTAGTGCCTTCCCAATCGAGGTAGAGCCCACAGCCACTATGGGACCCCAATAGCGAGTCTCAGAGGTCCCTTCTACCCATAGCTAATGTTCTTTACAGATGGAGGGACTGGGTCAAGCAAGAGAAAGAATTAGACGCATATATATAGTATACAAAGATGTAGAAAAAATAAGTGTTCAGTCTAATAATACAACATGATGACGATGTCCACCTTGAAATTAAACCGGAAGCAGTAACTCCTCATGTTCCTCCTTTACAGGAGGCAACCCATCAACAACCTTGTCCCAGAACATCTTCAGCTTGTCCGCGTCCGCACAGAACTCTTGGAGCTGGAGACGGATCCCTTCGGCAACCCTTGCTGGCTGAGGCGACTCATCCCTAAACGCGTATGGCGCATCCCACTGTTTTTGCTTAAGCCGTCTCGTCACTGCACTCGCGATCGCAAGGCCATTGGCGAGCCACTGGAACCCGTCGGTCCCTCCAACAACCTGGACGAAAGCGAGCCCAGAGCTGTGGATATACTGCGGATACGTATATGGCGAATGACGATAGCTGTACTTGACTGTCACTTGCTCTGGATATCGGGAAATGCTCTCGATGTCGAGGATATACCCCAGTTCGCGTAGTAACGCAGCCTCGAAATACAGCCCTGGATTTGCTCCGACCGGTAGTCTCCTAGCCAAGTCAGGCACGACTGGAGGAGCGACGGCCAGAGGGATCGAGATGCAGGATTGGAATGGACTGTGCGTCGATATGTCTGAGACCTGATCGACATAGGCTTCAACCAGTTTCAGTCCAAATTCCTCGACGTCTCTCGCCCATGACCAAACGATGTCGTCAATATACCGCGCTGTTGTTCCAATCCAGTTCATCTCGAAGTGGAAAGCATTATCGGGGTTGTGGATAACGTCGTGATGCAGCATTACGAGTTCCGCCTGATCGCTGTGTTTCATTGGATCGAGATCCAGTGTGATGGACTGTGTTAGAATGAGTTCCTGGCGCTTGGCGGGACTGTTGCCCTTGCGAATGTCTCGGCTCGGGGTATGCCGATTAAACCAAATACGCTGCCTTTTTGTTTGACTTGAAGCGGCATATTCCCCCGTTAGACGATAGTAGTAGTGGCTGACCGAATATAAGTAAGGAAGATGCATGGTACTATGCCACTTACCCGTCCAGGAACATATGATATGCACGACAGTGTTCGATGAGCCCTTGATCCATTAGCTTGTTTCCCCAGTCCGCAGCATCTTCCCTTGTCGATACGTCTCGATATTCTCGGAAGAGGAACGAAACAAAGTCAGACCCGGAGAAACTGTCCTTGTGGAGATTGTTGTGCCACTTGTGATCCTCGATAACCAAACCACCTTCGGGGTCGCGCATAGCCCGAGCGATGGACTGCAATGAGCTCCCTTCAATAGATTTCTCTGATTTGCGCTTCCGATCGCTTGCTGGCATGTGAGCTTCGGCCAGAGCCTCCATGAGCGGTTCATCCAGCAGGCAAGCGAGAGGATCGAGGTACGTGATCAAAAGGGGAACGGAAGTATTCGGATCATTATGAACGTCGTCTGGTCTCCAACGCAGTCGGCCAAAGAGCTCTGCGAAATGCTCCATGCCCTGGATTCGAACCTCTTCATTGCTGAGTTGCGCTCCGGTCGGACCAGGCTCAAACCGAGGCTGTAATTCATCCTGAGACGGAATCACGACGAATCTCGTCCTCCAGTAGCGCATTCTGTCCGCTGGTGGACTGGGAGCACCAGCGAGAAGCATATCCATCCTGTTCCAGCCAATGTGCTCTGCAGGGTAATTAAAGTGTGCTTCTGCTTTCATGTACCCACTGCCGTGTTTAGGCCAAATAAGACATTCATATGAGAGGACCTCTTCTCTTTGTCGTCCACGAATGTATGCGGTCACTTTGATCTCTTGCACTTCTTTGTCGTACGAGATCCGATGAAGCTGATTTCCCATACTCAGGTAGATAGGCGCATCGCCTACATTCCGCAGCACTTCGGAAGCTCCGCCCATTTTCAGCTCCAAGCTTATATCATTTGCATGTGAAGTAGTCGGCTCTAACAAACCCGTGCGACCAAAGCTGCCTGACAACCGATTTTGCATCAAGACCGGTGTGTGCTTTCGTCCAGTTCGAATGGGGGCAACCACAAACTGGAAGCCTTGGGCAAGCCGAAAGCTCGCAATCGCGCGGAGAAGTTGTTCGGCCTGGTAGGTCTCTGGCGTATATCCTTCCTTCTTGTATTTGGGGGGTCTGATAAACTGGCTGTTCGCGTCAGGAACGAGGATCGTATGATGGTATGTCCGGAAATCGTTGTCAAGTTCGTCCTGACGAGGGTATACATCCACGGTGAGAGGAAGACACGCGGGCATACAGAGTGATTGCCACTTCATCTGATGCTCGAATGTAGGTTGGGCGAATGAGTACTTCCATCTTCGTGCTTCCTGAGCGGATTCTGCCAATTGCTCTGGTTTGGGGTTGGATGGATTGAGCAGCGTGACTCCGGTCGAGATCTGACGATAGCGGGCCTGGGGTGTCGAGCCCGAAGCCTCGGCACTGCCGCCTTTGTAAGACATAGGAGCGTCGGCAGGCAAGGAATTGCGAGGGAGCGAAGCGCGTGCTGGATGGATGAGCGGTGGATCGGCATACAGCTCACTCGTTGGTCGGGTAGGCCGTGAGATACTCTGCTGTCGGGCTTTGATCGAGATGGGGACGGGGCTCGCACCAGCGGTAGTCAAGGGTTTCATGTCCTTGATGGGGATGTCTTTCTTCATTGGATGCAGGATAGCGGGAGGGACTTCCGGGGCCGTCACAGCAGGCGGTGCGGCCGTCTCTAATGCCTTTGTCGGAGCCGACGGTGATTGACGGATGACAGTGACGGACGTTGTCTGTGGGAGTGCCGGCTGGACTCTGAGAGAGGAGAGCAACCACGACGCACTAAACATACGTGGTTGGCGGGGCGGGAGCGGACCAAGGCTGTCCGATCCGGTTGCAGAAGCAGCCGATCGGGTGGATATGATCGAAGGCTTCGAGGGGGAGGTGCCGGGCTTGATAAGCTCTGGCGGTTTCTCCGTTGGCGGGACTTCGCTCGACGGGGTAAGGGGAGTGACGCGCGTCGGCCGACCCCGGGGTGGATCTTCCACCGGCATCAAGGGGGGCATTTTGAGGACCCCAGGAGGCATCTGCAGCGAGTTTCTCCGCGCATGTGCGACTTCTTGCGGAGGGATCGCAGGGAAGCTGTCTAGTCTCTGGGACAAGCTCGAGCGGCGCGCGTCCTCCATCTGCCCAGAACGGAATGTCGTGCCCCTCAAAGCCAGTGCGCCTCCCGGTGGTTCTCTTACACGCACAGAGGAACGCGAAGCGGCGGAGAGCGTGGAGCCAGAGTTGTACCCCACGATAAAGGGCGGTGGGGGTATCTCGATAGGCTTGCGGCCAAAGACGTTCCGGGCGAAATTGCGCCTCGCTCGTTCCTTAGCCGCTTTCCTGTCTTTCCCGTCTGATGTGGTTTTCGGGCCGAACATGAGCGAGGCGTCTTCGTCCAGGAACGGGATGGAAATGGTGCTTGAGATGTCTTGCTCGAGCAGACCGAGCATTTGGATCTCGTATATGCGGCAGCGGGGGATGAACCTTCCACCCAGTCAGACAACGACAATAAGCGGGGAGGAGAACGTACCGGTCCGTGCGAAAGGGCATATCCCACGAACGTTCCCAGTAAGAACAGTACACCCAGCTCGGGATCATATGATATTGCAATACCTCCTTTGGGGCTATCACCTCCTCCTCTGGGGGTATCAACACCTCCTCTGGAGGCATCACCGTCCTGGATTTGGAGCTGTTCTCATAATACAGCGGGTTCATCTCTCTCTGACTGAGGGGATGTTCCTGTTCCGGCACTTCAGACATGTACGAAAACAGAGGGACGGCGTGCAGTGGTCGATGTGTAAGACACACGAGATCGACAGTAAACCCATTGAAGTTCATCCGCTCGTTCGTCAGCCGTAAAAGCTCCTTGCCGACCTCGAATCGCCCCGTGCCGGGAGTGACGACGGAGATGCTGAGCCCCGTGCGGCCCATGTCCCGATCGACGTGGTATTTCTCGAACGGGTTGAGTGCGAGATTGAGCGCTTCGAGGATATTTCCTTCGTGTGCATTCGAAATACGTCCAATGAGCACTGCTTCCAGCGTGTCCTTGCGTGGGGAAGCCTCGGACGGAGCAATATGCTGCAAGAGGATTTCACGCTGAAAGTCCCACAAACTTTGTTTGAGAGAGACGAGCGTGCTCTCCCACTCCTCCATAATCTCTAAGTCGATGATGACCTTGTATAGGTCCTTGTATGCGCGATCCGTCGTCTTGCACCTCCTTATCGGACCCGTGGCGTACTTCAATTCCGCGTCGTCGTACCATACGCGGGAGACGAGCACCACGGAGAGGAGATGGTGCGCGTTGGCGGCTCGCCAGTGGGAGAACAGCTCGGGGAGGAAAGAACTGCACAGTTTCTCGTAGTACCTTTCTCCATCTTCCGCAAACTCCCACAGCTCCTTGCTGATCTGGATCAGGAGGGTGTGACGCGCCGAGAGCGAGCGATAGATCGTCTTAGTGAGAGCAGTCACATACGCCGAATGAACCCTCATCCCGCGAACGAATATTCCCTGGATCTGAGCTTCGATACACGTAGCGAAGTTGACCGTCTGGGCAGAGTGGACACAAGTATCTTCGAGCGACATTCCCAGGCGCCACATCTCTGATCGGCCGAGATACTGGTCCCGAAAACAGAGCTCGATGTGCTCTGCCGTGTGGGCATCTTGATCTACCTGATGGGGGTCAGATGGGTTGGAAAGGGAGGGAAAAGGCAGACCTTGGTGACGATCACGGAGGAACGGTTCTTGAAGCCGAACGCGGGAGCGATGTCTGCCGAGATCGATATCTACCGCACATGAGTTGTTGAAGGGGCACAGGGATAATAAACATACCTGCATCGTTCCCGCTGTCATAGTGTGCATCGCCGTTCCCTGCTTCTCGCTAGCGACAAAGAGGAACTCTCTCTCGATCTCCTCCTCTTCGCCAAACCCCAAGCCCGCTCCATCCTCCTCCTCTCCAGACAGCACCGGTCTTTTCACAGGAACAACAGATAGCAAGTCCCCTTCTCTCAGACCGGGCCATGCATCAATATTGATCCTAGCCTTGTCATTGCCGTAGAAGTTGTCCTGTACCCAGCAGAGGAGGGTGATTTGGTCCCCTACAGATAATGGTGGTGCGGGAGTGGCAGGTGCAGAGCGCTGCGAGTGCTGTGAGGAGATGGAATGAATGCTCGTGAGGGTTGACGAGCGCCGTCGGTTTGTGGCCAGAGCCATGTCACGCTCACCCACCTGCTCCACCCAACGAAGGGCATGAGCGCTCGTGTTTTGTCTTGGGACAGACGCGCACCAGAAAAGGAAATCATGCACGTGCATCCGCTCCCGGCTGCTTCCGATCGTCACTCCCCTTCCTCTTGCTCTCCCCCTCGTATCCCACATTCCTTTCAAACCCCCCTCTCAATAACAACATGCGTCCTTCACTTACCCGTCTGTCGGGGATGCCATCAGGTACGTTTATTATCGACCTGCGCAAACATCATGACTGACGAATAACAGGCAAGGCCTACGTGAGTCCTCTGAAGATGAAGGAAAGTGGGCGATGGTTGACGGATCTGTAGATCGGCTGGTGGGGTGACTTTGGAGGGGCGAAGCAGAAGGGTATCGTCCAGTATGGTGCGTTTCTGTCTCTTTACTTACCCTCGGTTTCACCGTTTCTTTATCTTGTTTGTATTTTGTAGTCCTGCACCTCCCGTACATCTATATTCTTTCACCTCTATCTTCGTCACCTCTATCCTCTTTCCCTATCCCATTCACCCTTATCCCGAATCACAGCTAACCACACTCCAGGTCTCTCTCCTTTCCAGCAACGTGCATGGGGGGACGCCTTCTCCCAAACGATGTTCAACGGGTATCGGCGTATCGTCAGCCAGGCACCCTACTTCCTGATCCCCTTCGTAGCGGGTATGTCCATCCCTTCACCTTTCTTTCGTGTTCCCTACGTCTTCTCTGCCACACAAGCACGAGTCGGTTGCCTAACTGCCCATATTTCCGCATCTCTTGCCAACTCTGATGTATCGGACAATGGCTGACACATTCCCCAGGGTACAGTATCTACACTTGGGCAAACGGGTACTACCACTACCTCGAAAGCAAGGAAGGGCACTACGCGAGTCAAGCAGCAGGTGGTGGGCACTAACCGCACAACTCCCCTGCCAAATCCAACATCTGGTAGAGCGGGCAGTACAAAAAGCTACGGAATAGAACCAATAATCATCCCGTAAATATCTTGCTGCTAATGTGGAGGGTTCGTTGTGCGCTCGATTGAGTTGAGATCGGCGGACGACTGCTGGTTCTAGGCTATCATCTGGATGGTGGTGCCTCTTTACACCGAACATCTCGTGATCGCTTCCCATCCTGTCATGATTATCCTTTCCCCACCTTCATATTCTCGCACGATTCAGGCCATCCGAAATGTCGAATTCCACACGAACCGGATTTGCGCTGACATGAGGTAGCCATCATGTGAGATACGCCGTCACCCAAACAGGAAAGTAATGAAACGCGCAGAAGATTGGGGAGGAAATCCGATGAATGGAGGAGGTCAAGATTGTCTAATCTTTTAATCGCGTTCATATTGGATTTCGAGAATCAATGTTTAAGCTAGGTAAGAGACTCTGGCAACTGCTCGAAATTCTAATCCGAGAGAATATCATCCATAGCCTGATTGTGATTGTTTCTCTCCAAATGAGGCACCTCACCCGTCAGACCATCGAATCAGCATCCTATCTCGGGTGCTTGGCACCGCCTTATATCACGGCCAGGGGAACAGAACCCTGCCCTTCCCGCAAACCCGGCGCTAGTTGCTACCTGAATGACTCTGCAATTTCCCAACATCCCTACGCAGCTCGGCAGACAGTAAGACATGTGCGAGTTGAACGGCAGGAAAAAGACATATAAACACCGCTCCAGATCATCTTGTTGGTCTGTTCCCAAATTTCCCCGCAACAGCAATTTTCGCATTATGTCTATTGCGGCTTTGGCTTTCCCTATCGAGCTGGATGAGCGCGACCAGGAATTGGGGTTGGTTCCTAGAAGAGGACCAAGTGGGGGTTCGCACAGTGGTGGTGGTAGTAGTGAAGGTGGTGGTGAGGGTGAAAGCGGTGGAAGCTCTGGGTCGAGTGGGTCCAGCTCGAGTACGTCTCCCTTCTGTATCATCGTATCATCGTATCATCTAACCATCTATCAGAGAGTGAAGGAGAAGGAGAAGGAGAAGGAGGGGAAGAAGGATCCTCCGGCAGCTCTGCCACCGGCAAGTCTACGCCTGAGGAGGCTCCGCCGCCGTACGACCCTCCTCCTTCATATCATTCCTCCTCAAGCCAGTTCCACACCTCTACAGGCGAGGCCGTCGCTGCGTACGGCGGGGGGTCCACGACGATCAAGCAGCTTCCCGCTGGTGTACCCTTTACCGGAAGGTCGTATGACGGTGGTATCCGCCCCCAGGTATATGGGAGCAGGACATTCGGTAGCGGGTATCCCTATGGAGGGGGAGGGTACTGGCTCGTAGGACGACCGTTTCCTTTTGGCTTCTGGCCGGTATACTATTATCCGTATTATTATGGGGATCATGAGGTGCGATCTCTCCTTGGATGGATGAATAATCACTGATGGGAGTAGTATGGACCTGAGAACAACTCCTCGCGCCCTGGAGGTGCGGAGTCGATGGCCCTTGTTCAATCTACCAACGCATCTATCTCCTCCAACGCGTCCCTCTCGAGCAACACAAGTTCCAACAGCACAGCACCATCGAACAGTACCTCCATCCCACTTAATACCTACGCGATCATGGGCGATTCTGACTCTGTTCGCGCTGTGCTTGACGCGCTCGTACTCAACTGCAGCGTCATAAACTCCACTATTATGCCCTACAATGCGAACGCTTCCGGCTCAGTCCAGCCCGAACAAGCAGTACAATACTACCGCGCTTCATCGTTCGCACTCTTCCTCGAGGGTTACAATAACACCGCTGCCTCTGCCGCTAGCGCCCCACCAAGCAACACGACCGCGTCGAACATGACGTCCGATACTCCTCTTCCCACTAATCTCAGTCTCGATTTCCTGGATTGTTTGAACCAGACGATAGGGAATGCGGTGCCTATGACGAATGACGGGAGTGCGCTGGGGCTTCCCGCGCCTGTGTGGAGCTTGGTTGGGCTTTTCTGGCTTGTGTTGATCATGGCCAGGCGAGTGTGAGGCTGTCGTATTATGCTATATTTCGTTCTGTGGCTTTTGTGATGACTGTGTATATACCCCCCTCCGTGATGATATCAATGATCTTGATCTAATGGATCGAATCAAATAAGCGCCCGGCACAAACAAACACGTAAACCCGAGCCGGAAGTGTGGAACCGAATGTTGGCGCAATTCCGGTGAGACTTCTTTGCACATATCCAACGATATCCGCACATCCGTCGATGACTCGAGTACATCACTGCACCGGTACGGATAACGCGTTCGGCAAAGAAAACCGGTATGTGGCAGCTGGAAAAAAAATGTTATAAAACCCCGTGACAGCTCGCTAACTTTCCTTACTCTCAACTCTCTCTCCAACAACCATCATGCCTGTTGCGGCTATAACTTTCCCTCAAGAAGCATAGGAACGCGCGTCAGACGATGAGTTATTAGTGCGTAGACGGGGTCGGAGTGGTGGTGGGAAGAGCAGCAGTTCCGGTAGCGGTAGTACGTCCTCCTCCTCATCTCTCCCCTCCCCCGTCAGGTCTAACGGTGAATCAGAATCTAGTTCTTCTGGCGGTTCGTCAAGCAGCGGCAAGTCCTCCTCCAAGCCTCCACCGTACTCCCCACCACCGTCATACCGCTCCTCAGCAAGCAGCTTCCATACTTCTTCCGGCTCGTATATGTCTGCCTACGGCGTCGGTTCCACGACTGTCCGACGGCTTCCTGCTGGCGTACCCTTCGCAGGGCGGTCATACGATGGAGGAATCCGCCCCCAAGTATATGGAAGCAGGACATTCGGCAGCGGGTACCCATATGGAGGGGGAGGATACTGGCTTGTTGGCCGACCGTTCCCCTTCGGCTTCTGACCGATATACTACCATCCATATTATTATGGGAACGATGAGGTGTGTTCTTTCTTTGAGTACATGGGTGAACAGTCGCTGACGAAAGTAGTACGGACCGGAGAACAACTTCTCCCGTCCAGGAGGGGCGGAATCGATGACCCTTATCCAGTCTAGCAACACATCTGTCTCTTCCAACGCCTCCCTCCCGAGTAACACAACCTCCAACAGTACTATCGCGTCCAACACTACTTCCGCACCTCTCAATACCTACGCGATAATGGGTGACTCCGACTCTGTCCGCGCGGTGCTCGACGCGCTCGTACTCAACTGCAGTGTCATAAACTCCACTATAACCCCCTACAGCTCGAGCGCTTCCAACTCCGCCCAGCCCGAGCAAGCAGTACAGTACTACCGCGCATCCTCTTTCGCACTCTTCCTCGAGGGGTACAACAACACCGCTGCCTCTGCTGCCAACGCTCCACCAAGCAACACGACCGCGTCCAACGTGACGTCCGATACGCCTCTCCCCAATAATATCAACCTCGATTTCTTGGACTGTCTAAACCAGACGATAGGTAACGCTGTGCCTATGACGAACAACGCTGCAGGCCTTGCCCCGGTGTGGAGGTTGATAATCTTCTTCTTGCTCGTGTGGTTCTTGGCTAGACGTATGTGAGTTGTATCGGTATTGTAACGGCTGTATGACTCTATACCTTTTGTTGTGATATCATGGTTAATATAATACGAGATGTTCTTACTGGACATTTATCTTGATATCCTTGTTGTTGAACTCGGGCGGGCGGTCTCGTCTGACCACTCACGACCCATCTCTCGCATCCGACTTGGTTGACCCGTGGATGGCCCAGTCGGGATGTTGATTCCCCTCAGCGTGCCTGCGATTTCACTTCATAGGAAGATTCGAACAACTATTCTATTTATACCATACAGCGGTGCGGACCGGGCTCGGTGCGTCTACTTCAGTCCCATCGCGGACATCTGGTTCAACGTGAATACAGGATTAGTTATGTGCTCATATGGGCGTATCTAGACGCGGCTTGGACCGTTACTCTCGCCCCTCCTGCACCTCTTCATCCATCCTCAAAATGGTATCAGCGTGTTGGTCGATGACGTCCGCTACCCGGTTCAGTGTTTGATTGGTGTCCTGGTTCACATCTTCCTCCCCGACCTCTTCGACGCTTCTCTCTCGCACGCCTGGATGACGATTTGGTCCAACGTCCTCTGGTTCTCCGCTATACTCTGGGCTGAACTCATGCTTGGCTGCTGGATCGATGCCAGAAACGACGGCTGTACCTTGTTGACTGGACTGTTGGGAGCCGACTGTTGGAATTATTAGCGTTGCGTTTACTGGCGATTTGTTCGCAGGGAACTGACCTAGTTCCCCGGACATATCCGCGTGAGACAGGGCATCAGACAGCAACATGGTGTTTCTGAGGGGAGCATTCCTGGATATATCTCGCCAGCGCCGAATTTGGCTTATGGCTCGGGGAAAGTTTTCGTTGTAGGACGGGTAGTACTGAAGAATGGAGAGATCGACGCTTTGACAGCGGCGTTGAAATGAGCCTCGAAGGAGCTCCATTGTCGGTCCCAGATCCGGATGAACGCCAGGATCATCCCGTTTGAGAAACACTTCAAGCATCTTTATCACGTTCCCATCAAGTGTCCCGTTAACAGCACACATGTATTCGAAGTGTTCACCCACAAAATCCAGCACCTGAATAGCTAGCGTTCCATCAAATTCAGGGTCCGTATCTTGGGCAAGAAAGAAGAGTTTGTCGAAGAGGCTTCCCGGCAAGAACTCTGAGTAAACCTCGTCGTAAGCATTCGTCCATTTGTGTTCAACAAGGAAGCAACAGGAAGACTCCTTTGGAAAACAGGAATGGTACACAAGGTGAATGAACTGATTGAAAACAGAATGGGCATGAGGGCTTTCTTGAGACAAATGTGGAGAAGAAAGAAGGGTCTTGATTAGCTTGAGAGCCGTCCCTTGAAACCTCAACTCGTTACAATGATACCAGTTGAGGAAGAAGTGCATGATCGCATTGAGAGAAGGAACTGAAGCTGATGCGAACCCCGTTTCTCCTGAATGAAATTCCAGGGGGAGGATCGGCGCGACAGGTATTGATGACAGCGCCTTTTCAAGGTCAGTTATCGTCCCAAAATCACCCAAGGAAGTTTCAATGTCACAAAGGAAGAAACTGAAGCAGACGAGGGCCGCCATCAGCCAGCGATTTCCCAACTCGTCGCGCTGTAGTACCACATGCGGTTGTAGTGGCCCCATATCCCGTAGTACATGGCATGCTAAAATGGAAACAGACATTCGCATTCTGGTCCAATCTTCACTTCCAGGCGTCCAGCGAGAGAGAAAGAGCACTGCCATCTTCCGAAGGTCGGGATCGGAAGAGTTGATCATCCATTCCACAGCTTTTACCTGCAGTGCATGGGCCCTGCCGCGCCAATGCCGCGCCATACCTCGCCTTAACCAAGGAGGAGAAGTGGATCGAAATCCAATGTTCTCCAACGCGTGCAGGAGACGATCGAAAAGATTGGAAAAGGTGTACAACGGGAGGAGACGCTCCACATTTCGTGTAACTCTCTCCAACACAAACACCAGGGGGGAACGATAGGGACAGTCCTCGAAGAACAGTGGCAGAAGCGCAGATGTCATGTACAGCCCAATGCCAATGCAGAGTAGGAGGAGAATTGACACAAACAGCAAGGTGCTGACGGGAAGGGCGAATATGACCAAACCGATCAAGAATAAGAAGACTGCGACGTGGATGGCCAGCGGGAGAAAAGTGATGATGGTGGACACATTCCATTTCATCAAGCCATCATAGCGCAACTGACGTTGCTCTGCTCGCTTCAGAGGTACTGGGTGAAGGCCTTGATTGTATGCGCTGATCCATTCCTTAACCAGCATGGCAAGCACGGCGGTAAGCAAATTGACGAAGAGGCTGGTGAACCATAAACAGTTGACGGCGACCGCCCCCGTGGGAGGACTGAAGGTTGGAGGTTGATAGGCATCTGATACATTCATCGTTTGACTCGAAGATAGGACGACCAACTGCTGAGATATAACGACGGGCGCATCGGAAGTGAGTTGGGACGGATCGGGCTGCATTGAGGACCAAGCGACAACGAGGAAAGCGGAAAGAATCGCGGAGAATAACGCGATCTGATCGCCAGTCAATGGGATCTATATTGGAGATATGTTTTGACTTACAAAGAGTAGGAAGTTATCGATACCATCGCCCCACGTCTTCAGAAGCGCTTGGTCGTGTTTATCGGCTTCTTGCACATATAACCGCCAGATCTCTGCGTTATCAGATTTATCGGGAAGGGGAGTGGTCCAGATGGATTCAGGCTTGCTCCAAAACCCCGCATGCCCCGTTGTGGAATTTCCGAGCGCAGCCCGATCCTCTGCAAGGCAGTTGGCAGAAGTACTCTGCTCCTCGCGTACAGGCGCTTGGGCACTTGAACGGACGTCAGAAGCGCCCAGCTCCAAATCAGGTGTCGTCCTCCCGTGGAGGGTATTGATACGCACATGCGAGTCCAGAGTCGCAGGAGGTCCCATTATTGAGTAGGCTCAAGCAAGAGGATCTGTTGACGTGAGATGGGGAAGTGGACGTTAAGCAGAGAGATGCGTACGGTGAACGGACTGGTTGACAGCGTCTCATGAAGGCCTGCTGCAGGTGTATCTCCCGACAGGAATCTTGAGAACACAGCCTTGGCACAGCGAATCCGAACAGAACCTGATTCGGGAATGGTTTCCCTCAACAAGAATAAGTGTGTATGTTAGCAAAGTGCTGCAAACAATCCCTTGAACAACTTGAAAAGCACAAGCGTGGCAGTGCCGGCGCTTGCCCCTTCGAACTGCCAGTGTAGACAATATTTTGCTGTCCCCCTTCTCTCTGTTGTTGTATTTTGTGCTGCACATTCTAATTTGAAGCCGGATTCGATGTTCGAACGGCACGCTGAATGACACTCCGAACGAGGTTCGAAAGGGGACTACGACAAGACGGTAGAAGGAAGCGGACCCTATACACAGCCTTAGGTAATCATGGATTAGGGAGCTACGATAGTTAGTCCGAAGTCCGAATCGCCTCCGAATGTATATAGGGAGTACTTCGGAATCGGGAGACTCTCTTTCGATTCTTATCTCTTCCCTTAACTCTTACACTACACATTTAACTAACAGCCCTTCTTTCCTCTCTCCCCCCCTCATATTGATCAATCTGAACACTCATTTGAACCTTTGAACTGCACTCCGAGTCTCTTGCTCTCTCCTCTCCATACCTCCCAGCCAGTCCTTTCGACTAGAACAGCCTCTCCGAATGCTTGCACCTCAGTGGGTCTTATGCTCGCACGTCTGGAGCTTCGGAACTAGGATCAAGCCTTCGAATCCATCCTCAGACTAGGTATTTCCTTGGAACGGGCTTCGATTACTACTAGAGTTTCACTACAGATTGGTATCTACTCGACTCAAGCCTTTACCATCTACTCCCCCTCCAGCGGACTTACTCTTGACTCCTCATAGGGACGTATAGATTACAATTCTCCATGCTCAAGCTTGTTAGTTTCAGGTCGAATATCATCGCAAGCGAGGGACATACCGACCTCGATCAGCACCGACCTTCGTAAGAATTCCGTGAACGATGCTAGATCGATGAACATGGTCGTGTTCTGTTCAAGTGCTGGAAGTACAGGGAGAGGGTACGCCTGGGCATAACTTTAAGTCTTGTCACGGATCTGTTGATTATGCTCACCGAATCACTTCCCCCACTTGTTTCAGCCTGACAATGTCAAATAGTCCCCTGAACCACTCTCCGACATCTTTGTTATGCAAGGTGCTCAAAGCTGAAACAGCCTGCCTGATTTGAGATATGTTGTTTCTTATACGTGGTCGTATTGTCCGACTACTGTCGGACACTCGAGATTATGTTGATATGAGTCCAGAAATTTATCTGCAAATGCTAAACCGGGTGCGTAAGTCACGTGATATCCGGCAATGTCCGGGCTTCTTCAAGGGTTGCAGGGGACCACGCACTCGTCTCAGGTCTCAGCACTCAGCACTCACCATCTCACCTCTGGCATCTCCTCTCTCATCTCACTCACTGTCTCATTCCATCATCACTACGTCATCTTGCAAGTTCATTCCGTCATGGCCAAAGACAAAGGGAAATCTCGTGCGATGGATACGTCACCGCTGCTCTCACCCACACTCCGCCCACCGCCATCCACACTGCTAGACCCGACCGAAGACCCAGCGGCCTCTTCATCCTACAGTACATTCCCACCCACCGCACCTCTTCAGAGAGGACAGAGTTACGCATTGACCGCTTTCCTCTCTTTCCTCTCTCTCGCCGGCGTGGCTGTGCTTCTATTACTACTACTTGGTTGGTCATATGCCTATCCTTCATCATCTTCCAACGTCGTACACGCTCTCCATGTCCGTGGTCCATCAAGCATATCAGTAACAAACTTCACCTCAGAAGGTCTGTATTTGAGAGTACAAGGAGAGGTAGGAATAGATGCCGACTGGGTACTAGGGTTCAGGACATCAGACGACCAAGTGAGCTGGGCGGAGAGGATCAGGAGAGCCGTCGGTAGATGGGGTGTAAGAGAAGTAGAAGCCCTAGACGTCCGATTAGGCAACATCGACCTCGTCTCCACTTCATCCCGAGCACTGCTGGCAACCCTCTCCCTCCCTCCTCTCACTCTCCCCCTCACCCCAAACCTACGCGCCACAGACTCGAAGCTCGCCCCTCCCTGGCTCAAGCCAATATCCGTCGACGTTCTCATCCATCCCAGCACCGACCCAGAGGTACTGACGACGTTCGCCAAGGAGAGCTGGGCAAAGGGACGCGTTGAGATCGAGGCGGCGTGTGAGTGGGTCCGTGTCACTCCTGCTGCGCTCGCGCTGGGAGGAGAGGGAGGTTCGACTTGGGGTTGGCCTAGCTTGGGGGAACTGTTGACTGTCAAGAAGGGGAGGGTTGATACGCCCCTCCGAATGACTAGTATGTCCCTCCCTGAATGGTGCACACACAAGCTGATCACGAGCAGTACCTAGCTTACCCGGCTTTCCTCGGCCTGGGACTCCTTTGAAGGACATGCTCAACCAGTTAACGATAGAGGGGTATGCTGTCCACCCCCTTCCCCCCGCTCAAGCTCCAGGACCTACTCTGCCTTCTCCTGTTCCGGGAGAGCCTGGAAAGAGCAAACCGATACTAGCGATCAAGGGTGCCGCTTCTGTGCCTTTTCCCGTGCTACCGTTCCCTTTGAGCGCCTTCGACTGGCCGTATGAAATCCCGTTCCTCGTCTCCCTCCTCCCGTCCAACAGGACTAACAGCACCGGGAACGACACTTCTCCCACCCCGATCCTAGCAAGCCCAGAACCAACAGCGACCCTCTCCCCTCTCCCGATCGCCGCTATCCACACTTCTCCCCTCTCCCTCCCACCCCCGGGGAAGAGACTCAACATCACACTGCACGGCGAGCTTCTCCCACCGCCACCCTCCTCCCCGCTCCTCTCCGCCTTCCTCAGCGCTTACCTCTCCGGCCACTCCTACCCCGTACTTATCACCTCCCCACCCCCATACACACTCCCCACCTTCCTGCACCCTTTCCTCTCAACCCTCCACGTTTCCTTCCATTTCCCGGGCGCATCCCCCCCTCCCCAACTACTCGACTCCGTCCAGATCCGCGACACCCGTATCCTCCCCTCCAACAAGCCCAACGAATTCCTCATCAGCGGGCTCATCCTCGCCCACCTAAAGCTGCCCCCAGCGTTCAAAGACCTCATCTTCAGCGCCAAAGAGGTACAGCCAGATGTGTACATCACCGATGGACCCCCTGAGTCAGGGCTGGGGAACGCATTTGCCCGTCTCTCACCCCCCGCACTCCCCTGCTCACAGGAGAACATGACAATCCTTGCTCCGCTGGACGAAGTGCCCGTGCATATCCTGCCTGGGAGGGAGAAACGCTTTAGAGAGTTCGTACAGAAGGTTTTGTGGAAGGGGAGTGCGTACGCGGGCGTGGAGGGGGAGGGTGCGGTCCGGGCTGGAGTGGGAGGGTTGGGAGAGGTGAGCGTAGCGGGCGTGCATGTTAGAGGCGGGAGTTGGGTGGGGAGGAAGGGGGAGGAGGGAAGGGAAGAAGAGGTGGTTAGTGGTGAGCGGGAGGGGCTAAGGGTGCACGACAGCTGGGTCGACCTGTGGGAGGAGACATTCCGTGCTTGGGAGGCACTTGTATAGATGGTGTAGTGTTAGAGTGTGGGGATGTATGGTATAGAGTCGTGTGTTCTATTACTGTAACAACCGTGTACAATATCATGCTTTCTCCTTCCTCCTCACTCAGCGGCGTACACTGCGCCTACATCCTCAAATCCAACTTCCCCCCACAATTCACCCTAAGCTCATCACATCCCCCTCCGCCGACCTCTCCCCCCTCCCCAACCCCATCCACGTTAAGCCCATTACCCGCAACCCAGCTCGCGCGCCCCTCAAACCCTTCATACTCGAGCTCCAAGTCCCCCTCACTCTGGTGTTCCCCGCTAAAGCACCTCAGATGCTGCATGACCTGCACTCGGAACTTTGACCTCCCTTTCCCGGCATGCGTCTCCAGCTTCCCAGTGCTCCAACCTGTCCCTGCCTGACTCGTCAGTACCCTGAGGGACAAGTCGACCTCCCCCTCTGGGACAGTGTCGATCTCCAACGACCGGGCGAGGGCGTGTTCCCCACCGATGTACCCAGCGGGAAGCGCGAGTTTTGTCAGTTCTGCGGTTAACCCCGGGGAGGGGAGGATAAGGTTGTCAACGCTCGACGCGTGCAGGGTGATCGACATGTTCCGCAGGGCGGGGGCGAAGGCGTCATGACCGTTTCCCCATGAGTCTCCCACCCGGACGTGCGCTACGTTCTGTAGGTCTAGAGTGAGGGAACGCAGGTTTCCGGGAAGGAAGAGGATCACATCCATCCGGATGCAGTATGCAGCGTCAGGGAGCGCTTCGTACGTCAGGTGCGGGGCGCTGTCGAACGTCGGCCCCGTGCCAGTAATCGAAAAATCCATATTCGCCTCAGGGGAAGAAAAAGCAGCGTGCACGATCAGTGCCGTTATCGTCACGTCTGGCTGGCGCTCCAGGGTCACGGTGAGGAAGGTGTTGGACCCCTGGGTACGGAGGAGGAAGGAGTTCTCCCCCTCTGGTGTGGAGAGGGGCAGGGTGAGAACGGTATGGTTCGTCGATGTGAGGGGGAAGTTGGGGCTTTTGTAGAAGTAGGGAGCGGAGTTGCACCCGAGATTTTCGCCAAATACCGGTATGCTCATCGTTGGGCTCTTCTTAGGTGCCTGGGGAGTGTCAGAGAGAGCAGGAGGACGAGTTGCATGCGTACGATGAACCACGCCCAGGATAACTTCATCGCCATCCACAGTCCCCATAGTGCGAACAGCGCGGCAAGCGCTTTGATGAGCGTGGACACTTTGACGTTGACTGCGGCGCCTCTTCTCCGCCTAGGTCGATGGGAAGCGTGTTCATGCACGAAAGCAGCGTGTTCGTCCGATACCTCCTCCTCGATATCCCCTTCCTCCCTCTCTGGGTGGCTCGATCGTGTACGCTCGGACAGGGGCACTTGATCACCCCGCTCCGCATCGCCGTCTTCTTCAGACTGGAACAGCACCTCGCCGTCCCGCTGCTCGCCTGCCTGGTGGAGCGACGTGTACCGGGCGCTGGAAGCCTGCTGTCGACCGCGAGAAAATCCCAGTGTTCTACGAAGTGTGTCCATCCTAGCAGAGAAATGATGAGCCTGTAGATATTTTTGTGCGGTAGTTGCGGAGGGCGTCTTATGCTCGGATGTCAAGGGCAGATGCCTGATGAATGTATAGGAGAGATGCAGAAGAAAGATAAGATCAAGGACCCTGAACACATGATCTTCTGCTTTCGGCCGAACCTTCTTCACGGATAATTCTCTCCGGTTATTCACGATATTTGGGTGAATTCCTGGTTCCTCTCTCCAGCTCGCTTCATCAACAATCTAACGGTCTTTTAAACTTAGCAATACAGGCAGACAGCACATTCAATGTAATACAAAAGAACAGGATCAAACGAAATGGAACTCGGCTCACAAATGAGCACATTTTACCATATTTCCCTAGGATCCCTTGACGACTAAATCGAACCGATCATGAATGAGTCCAGTCTTGCAATCACTTTACCGCTCCTTTCGCGTGATCAACCCACATCCAATACCCATCCCACGACGCGTCCGCGTCGCCATAGTCGTATTCATCTAGCAACTCGATAAGTGGCCACCTACACCAGCAGCACTCACAATCAGTCTCTCGCGCCTGGGACAGCGTCAGATGGGCGGAAATGGGGGAGTACGCACTCGTGGTCATTCATGAAACCCCGGTCACGTAGGGAGGTCACTAGCCCGAATGAGACGATGTCGTCTCGCGCTCCGTACGTCTCCATCACCGTGTTGTACACGGTATTATCTGGCTCCGCTAGCACACTGTCGCGCACGTCAGCGATTGTATTTCTCAATGCTAGAGTAGAGTGTACGGACGTGTCAACAAGTGCTCGAGAAAGATCGAGCAACGTGACGCCCTCCTGGTTCCGCACTTCAACAATCCTCCTCTGTCCCAAAATGCGGAAAGGCAGCTTGAGCTCCTTTGAAGGAGGAACAGTTGCAAGCGTACAGCTTGCGTTCGGGTGATGACACAGCGGAGCGTACCGCTGTGTTGGGCCGTATTGCGCGGTATGAGCAAGCAGAGACGCCTCCGCTCGCCCTACCCAGGACGGGAAAGGCAGGTGCGCCTGGAGCAAGCGCGGCAGAGTGAGAGTGTATGCCGGAAGTGGCTCAGTCTCAGTTGCCAGCTCGCTGTTATGTGTAACAGAGGCTGAAAGATCGGTTCGTGTCACGTCGCCTGGTCCGAGCATGGCACCAGGGGTAGAATCACGAGGCGTGCTTTGAGGGTGCCCGTGAACTGTGAAATGCAAAGGGTGGAAGCGGAAAACGCTCGAATCAGTAAGAGTATCCACCATCTTTGGCACTTCCCCGCTGCCCAGATCTAGTGAATCCGACATTAGTCATGATCTGATGAGAGAGACGAGTCTGCGTACCTAAGAACGCCCCACCTTTGCAAGCTGCTCGCTGACATCGGCCTGTATGCCGTGCCAGGAGGACTGCAAGTTCGCGCCAATCAGGCCTGCGACCGCATTCATTACACAGTGGTCTACCAAAACGTAGACGGTAGAGCAGCGTCCGCCAAGAGACGTCGGTACTCAGACGCAAGAAACGGGTTGAGATATGAGAGAAGGTGAGGTATTGCGGGATCGTCGGAGGGAGATTGTCCCTGACCAGGAGGAGAAGTTCGTCTGGGAGGTCGAGGAGGTCCATCGTAGCACACAGGGCGAGTCGCCCAGACACGAGGATGATCAACAAGAAGGTCAACGAAGGCCCGAGACACAGGTTGGGGAAGAGTACAGGGATGAGAAAGCCGACATGGAGGGAATGAATAGGACAGGGTTTAAGTAACAAGTGAACAATCAATGAATAAAGAGAAATAAAAGGTACCGGCCAGCAAACTCGGCCCGTCCAATGCCGACAGCGCCCGATTAAATCAAATGCCTCCGCTTGATCCCCGAATATGGATGTTCACAGACAGGTCATTAGGGGTCCTTTGAGCATGGCCTCAGGATAAGAATTCAAAATGCTGTGCACATTTGTCTCCACATCCAGTCAAGTGGAAACACCATTTTTGCATCTGTGGAAGCTAATATATTCCCATGGGAACAAATAGAAGAAACTTAACAGAAGAGAGTAAGAAATAGAGGCAAAACCAGAAAGCAAAAGCATTTTTTTTTGCCTGCATGGGAGTACCCATCTGCTTTCACTAAATGGAAGTGAAGCATTTGCTCCCATTGAGAAGGAAACAGACACTAGATCCTTGACTCAAATGTGGACCTTTTACCCTGTTCACAGCCACAATTTTTTTCAAAAAAGTCGGAATTAATAGAAAAACCACATATTTGAGCAAAATTAAATGCTGAGGACCCTTATCCAGCAATGACGCACTCTGGTGGTCTTTTGCGGACAGCTGGGACCCCTAACACCGCGGCTGTCCGCGAATGTCCACCATAGTGCCAAATACGCACGTTTTGTGCTGGAATGTCCGTCAAAGTTTATCGTCCAGGAGACCGGACGGTGAGCCGGACGTTCATATTTGGTTATATGAACGCTAAACCCGAGTTCCCGAGACAGCCTTTCTTAACGCTCATTATTCCCTTGACATCGAACCGTCACCCCTCCTGCTTTGATCTTACGGGCGCAGTCTTTTGAAGCGACTGAAACTCGTCATCTTCTAATGCCTGGGAGGCGTCGTATGCTCTGCATGCTCAAGTTCTCTCAACAGAAACCAGGTACTTTGCAGGCAGGGCGAATGCCGATAGAAACTCAGAATGCTTCCAATGGGATTTGGATTTGGAATGTACGCGACGTCTGCTGTCTTTTCGAGGGCCATCCTTCTTCTGGTGTTTCTCTCGGAGAGAATAGACCACACACGAGGTTTTTTCTCCCACCATTGTCCGAGCTATTCAATTGTTACCCGGACTGGCCCGATTCAACACATTCGTTCCAGGTGAAAGCTGTGAGATGGACGATCAACTCTTCCGATCCCATTGTTCGAAACACAGCATTACACTTTCTGTCTCGGTCGATGCCTTGCATGCAAGACTGTAACAGAATGTGGTCCACTGTCAGCCTTTCACATATTTATAACCTCGCGAGACACGTGTGAATGATTAGAAGTGTGTGCAGAAAATGTAACCATGATATGATACAAGCCTACTGCCTTCTCCATGACAGCAGTCGCACAATCCAAGCAAGCCAGGGTACATTCTACCTCCTCCGGCCCCAAGACAACCAAGGCAACACGACCTTCCCCGTCTGCGTGGTAGCTCTCACGATCAAAGGTGTCGTCTCTCCTGCTCCTGCCTCTCCGTCCTGTGCTTCTGCTGCCCGCCGATCCTCGGCTTCTCGCCACGCCGCCTCTACCTGCTGGCCGTCCAATTCTGGCAGGCCGAGGCCGGGAGGACCGCTCTCGCCTTGTTCAAGCCCATCGACAAGTCCGTTCCCTCTCCCATTGCCGAACTCTAGCCCAAGGCCCCACGTGCTCGGCTCTGGGTGGGATTCGGGGGGGGGAGAGAGCGGGTTGCCGAAGTCGTCGATTCCGAGCCGGGCTTGGCGGACTTTCCACACGATGCAGAGGATGAGCAGGAGACCTTGCATTATCCCTGCTGCTGCGTAGGGTAGCCAAGAGGTCCAGTTTGTCCCTTCTCTGCACGGGAGTTAGGACACGCACGGGATGGGAGGGATGGGGAAGTGGGGCGCACCGGACTGCGAGAGAAACGATAAATAGCACTGCACCAGGGCACTGGATGCACATCATCGGTATGCTTAACGCACCCACAAGCCGGTCCTTGTATGTCTTCCATAACTGGGGCGCGTATTGGAAGCAGGCGAACAGGGAGGCGGTTATTCCGCAGAAGCCTGCCCAGAGCTCGGCTTGCCGTGATGGTATAGATTGAGAAGGAGGGGGAGACGATAGGACGAGGAAGAAGGTGACGAATATGCTGATTATGCTGCATACAAGTGAGTTGCAGGTTGGAAGAGCAAGGGAGAGGGCGTACAGGTGCACGAGCACAAGAGCACAGAGCGCCTTCGCTTCGTTCCACTCGGCCGTGGCAACCAGCAGCTCTTGTATCTCTTCTTCCTCTTCCTCTTCGCGTTCTTGTTCCTCGTCGGTATATTCTCGGACGTGGCGAATGTGGTGATGTCGTGCTGAAGGGGGATAGTACAGTAGGAACAATACGACACTAAGAGATTATCAGACGGGATACAGGCCAGAGAGGGATACGAGACTCACATGAGACTGAACATCGCCCATAGTATGGTAACCTGCACGATCCCAATCGTGTTCTCTAAGCACTGTCCCACCGTCCACACGCTACAGCACCGAACGACCCCCCATTGAAGCGTGACAACATTCAGCATTCCTGCAGCCGCACTCGTGCTTCCCAGAAGGAGGTACCATGGTGATATCCCCTCTGAGGTTTGTTTAGCGATGATCCGCCAGTGCTGAGGTATGTAGGAGATGATGATTCCGAAACAGAGAAAGCAGGTGAGGAGGAGAGTAAAGGGGTCGTGTGCCTGTTGACATGATGATGTATGTTAGTAGCAACCATTGAAATTATGGCGTACATACCGGTTTGCACACCGGTTCGTCGGATATTCGCAGGTCCATCGTATGGTAGACAGCGTTGAGGGGACAGGCTATGTAGCCAACGCGCAGCCTCCCCTCCCACTCTCCTTCGAAGTCGGAGCCGAGCATTCCTCCGACAGCCCTTTCGCCTCCTGCGCTCGCTGTCTGCTCTTCCTCTAGACCACGCATAAGGTATCCTCCTGTTCCTCTTGCCCTCTTCGGGGAAATACGAGCATGAGGTTAGTCCGCATGGCCTAGAAGGAGACTAGGTCTACATTTCGCTAGCGGTGGGAGCGCCTCTGTTCTGTTTGTCTAGGAGCTGGGGAGCGAGGATGAGGTGGTAGAGCATGTGTTGACCGACAGCGTTCAACCGTCGACAACGCGTCTGCACATTTAATGTTGAATTAATCACGTTAATTAATCATACGAAATCAGTACCAATCGGATCATTCAAAATATGTTCTGTCCACCCCTTTTGTAGCGATTCTGCCGTATCCGCTCGAGTATGCTCGCTGCTCAGGGTCGCGTGCCCACTGTCCGTCTCCCCACCACCACCGTCTCCATCGGTGACCTCGCCGTCGGCCCACATCGTACCCTCACCCCTCCTGATTGTCTAACATGTCAGCTTGTCTCCGTCTGGTCTTCTCTCGCTCTTCATACCTGCGTTCTCGTGTTCTGCTGACAACGCGGTGCTACTCAACACCAAGTCATATTCCCTCACCAAATGATGCATCCCCACCAAATGATCTACCCTTCGTACGCGAAGAGGACCCAATCGCATGGTTCGAATCGAGGCTGTCAGGGGTAGATCTGAGAGATACGAAGATGCACATGGGCGGGCCGAAAGAGAGTGTGAAGGAGCATGGTCCTCGCGCAACATGGAGACCAGTATCAGGAAGGCACGAGCGGAAACTTGCGTTAGAGGACTATCTACGTTCCGAGTCCCCTTTGTCAGGCGCCGTGCCCAATACACTCCCTCCCTGGATCAATAAGTTTACACCGATGTGGCTGAGGGAAGTATGCCAATGCGCGGAATGTGTCGACCCGTCTACCCTGCAGCGACGCACACGCAGCACCCCCCTTGGGCCTGAGGGGTACCGTGTCAGGAGTATAACGTACGATCCTGATCAGAAAAATGTGTTTCTCTTATGGGATGACGAACACAAGACGCACTTCAGCATGGATTTCCTCAGAGCTCACGCCAACCGGCCGGCATTGATGATGGAACACAGAGCCCCCTTCCGCCGGCAGGTCTGGTCGGCGACCGACCTTCCTGCAGAGCCTCTCAGTTTCCCTCTTAGCGAGGGCGATAGGAAGCTGGCGCTCCTACGGCTTATGCAATACGGCATCGTTTTCCTCAAGAACGTACCGAGGGACGGAGAAGCGATCTGGGACGTGGCCAAAGCGTTTGGAGATGTGAGACCGACGTTTTACGGCCAGACATGGGACGTGAAGAGCGTACCTAACAGCAAGAACGTGGCGTACACTGACCAGCTACTGGGGTTCCACCAAGATCTGCTGTGCGCACTCTCCTTCTCTCCTCTAGCCCATCGTTGATCTGATGCGTGCGAAGGTACATGCGCAACCCACCCGCTTACCAGATCCTCCACTGTATAGACAACCAAGTGTCCGGCGGCGAATCCGCGTTTATCGACGCCCTCCGCCCGGCGTATACGCTCGCCTTCAGCGATCCGGACAAGTTCAAGCTGCTCACAATGCGTCCCATCCCCTTCCAGTACGTCAACGATGACCAACGCTGGCACTGTAACCATACGACCATCGAGCTCCGACCGTTAGGAGACGGAGGTGATGGGTACAACGCCGAGGAACCCTGTCTAGACATGAACGATTCTGTCAAACTTCTCAAACTGCCAAACTTCGAGTCCACCGTGGCGCATATCAACTACTCCCCTCCGTTCCAAGGACCGATATCCCTCAACTCCCCGAATGCGGTGTTTGACGCGCTGCGCGTATTTGGGGAACTGTTAGAAGAGCCCGAAGCGAGGTACGAGTGTAAGCTCGAGGAGGGCGAAGCAGTGATATTCGACAACCGAAGGGTGTTGCACGCCAGGAAAGGGTTTGACGGGAACCAGGGCCCGCGCTGGCTCAAGGGCTGTTACTTGGACCTGGACTCGGTGGTGAACACTTGGCGGAGGCATGGCCCCGGAGGGACAGGGGAGATTGTTGATGTTGTCAGTGCGGACTTGGCCAGGGCGGGAGAGGAAGAGTGAGTTAAGTAAGTTGAACGAGTGGAGCGAGTTGAGAGTTGAATGAGTTGAAAGAAGATAATGGCTAGTCACTATGGACGGCACGAAGCGCGACCTTGGCGCAAGCAGGAAGTAGGGAGGGGGGTTCATCTGGGTTCATACACGAGAGTGGATAGACTCCTGTTGCTTGTACAATGAGCCTGTACACTGTAGGCAGCGAAGGAGAATAAAGGTCTCGGCGACGCTCTCCCGGAGGAGTGAAAGACAGCCCGGCGGCAAGACGGGTAGAACAACACCATCATACGCCGTCGGTCCCTCAGAAATGAGGCGAGAGGGGTGAAGCGTCCCTGGACCTGTAGTGCCCAGAAAGGCTCAGTTGGTAACTCCGAAGCACTTGTCCACTCAACTATCTACTATCTATTATTAGGGGAGCCTGTGCCGTTTTGCTCATTGTTTTGGGAATGCGTGGAAGTAAATATGGACCATTAAATGTTATGATTTAGGTATTCACAGGATGGTGCTGCACTCCCCTAGTTCCCCCCTTTTCCTTCTCCCCCCTCCCTGAGAGAGGATCACCCTTCCCCTTGTTCTCCTTTCTTCACCCCCCCTCCTTCTCCCTTCATCATTCTACCTGCTGTCAGGGTTTGAATAATTAATATTACTATTGCTATTACTATTAGACATAGCAGGGTTAAGGTTCAAACCTATCTGGAGTGATGTGTATACTGAGGGTGAGGTTTGCAAATTGTCAGGTTCCAGCTTTCTAGGGTTAGGTGTTATTACGTAACCGTGCCCCTAAATTGGGGTCTTAAATGCGGCCGTGCAAGAACCGCCCCATGCCCGAGAAATTTGGATGACATACACGGCCATCGATCCTTCTTTCTATGGCGTCGACATACAGTGAAACAGTTGATCGAGGACTGATCGGCTCGGCTTACAATGCAAGTACCAATGTAGCACGAAGGGAGGCAGCTGCATGTTGGCTACCCACCTCCTCAACGTCAGCTGCCAGACGACATGCACCTGCTAATATCCGACGAGCCTGTGTGCAAACCAGTATGTACACCATGAGACGATGCGGTATTGACTATTAATTAAATTATCTTCTGTTGTCAACAGGTACACAACCCCTCTACGCTCTTCCTCACTTGCTTTCTCTGCTTTGGAGTCGTCATCTCCTACTTACCTCAGCACTGGCGGATCATCGCTAAACAAACCTCGGAGGGGATATCACCATGGTACCTCCTTCTGGGAAGCACGAGTGCGGCTGCAGGAATGCTGAATGTTGTCACGCTTCAATGGGGGGTCGTTCGGTGCTGTAGCGTGTGGACGGTGGGACAGTGCTTAGAGAACACGATTGGGATCGTGCAGGTTACCATGGTGTGGGCGATGTTTAGTCTCATGTGAGTCTCGCACCCTCTCCGAGTTGTATCCCTTCTGATAATCTCTTAGCGTCGTCCTATTCCTGCGGTATTTCCCTCCTTCAGCACGGCATCACCATATTCGTCACCCCCATTCCGGTCGAGAATATACCGACGAAGAACAAGAATGCGAAGAAGAGGAAGCAGAGATCCAAGAGCTGCTGGTTGCCACGGCCGAGTGGAACGAAGCGAAAGCGCTCTGTGCACTCGTGCTCATACACCTGTATGCCCTCCCTTGCTCTTCCAACCTTTACTCACTCGCTCACTCGTACACAGCATAACCAGCATATTCGTCACCTTCCTCGTCCTCTCCTCTCCCCAGTCCCAACCATCGCGGCAAGCCGAGCTCTGGGCAGACTTTTGCGGAATAAGCGGGTCCCTGCTCACCTGCTTCCAATACGCGCCCCAGATATGGAAGACATACAAGGACCGGCTGGTCGGCGCGTTGAGCATCACGATGATGTGCCTCCAGTGCCCGGGTTCGGCGCTATTCGTCTTTTCCCTGGCATTCCGGTGCGCCCTACACCATTCCCATCTTCCCATCCCTTCCGCTGACTCCTGTGCAGAGAAGGGACAAACTGGACCTCTTGGCTACCCTACGCCACAGTAGGGATAATGAAAGCACTCCTGCTTATCATCTGCCTTGTGTGGAAAGCACGCCAAGCCCGACTAGGGATCGACGACTTTGGGAACCCGCTCTCCCCTCTCGTCGGATCCTGCACAGAGCCGTGCGGCCTTGGGCTAGAATCCGGTAATGGAGGGAACGGACTTGTTCATGGCGAGAGTGGTCCTCCCGGCCTAGCACAAGCCGAAGCCGAGGATCGCCCGGCAGCAGAGGGGCAGCAAACGGAGGGAAGAGCAGGAGAGACGACCCCCTTGATCTTCAGAGCTGGGACGCAGGGGAAGGTCGTACAAACTCTGTCAAAGAGGATCACGTCGGGATAGGCATTTCTGGACCAGGTTCATGCTCTTACGTTTATGCTCTAAGGCGGAGTCGGTTTGCCCAGAAGAAGTCAGTGCAGTTTCTGATTTCGTATGCCCTTAGAGAGTGGATTCTCTTATACCGTATTCTCTTAGACAGAGTTGACTGTATTCTCTTAGACAGAGTTGACTGTATTCTCTTAGACAGAGTTGACTGTATTCCCCTGGTTGTCTTTGGGTTGTGAGTGATCTAGAATCTGAATCTGATAGAGTGTATCGATGCCCTGGAATGTGTGCTGCAATAGCCCGAACTGGTGACTCTTCGACCCATAAGCACCCTTGGCACTCTCTTCCCTTGGTCAACCAGACCGCCTTTCTCCAATTCTGTAAGGTGGCCTTCGAACGGCCAGCGCTCGAAATACTGTACGTACAATAACGGGCCACCGATTGGGCCAGAATTCCTACCCTCAGGCTCAGGCATACAGCACTGGAGGGCCTGAGTGCAAGGTTCCTAGAGCTGGCAAATGGTTGGACAAGGCATAAGCGGAAGATGAGCATCTTTCAGAGGTAGATGCTTGCTGAGCGAAGGGCGAAGGACGACGGGCGAAGAGTGAAGGAAGAAAGGGCCAAAGAGTAGGCTATCTAGTCTAGCGTTCAACGCTGGGTGTGTGGCACGGACAGGACAACTGTGTGTGGTGTATAGTGTAGGGTGTTCTGCGGGTACAGGCGGAAGTCAGTGAACTCCGGAGTCTGGAAAAAGGGAGCCTGCTCTTCCTGGAAAGGAGCGCAAACAAAGACGTGTCACTCTCTCCAAGTCTGTATCGCTCACCCCCCCC